AATAGCTCTGGCGCGCAGTACAATGCTGGTCAACACTTTTGCCGTACCCTGCGGAATGATTCCAAAATTACACCTTGAAGTTGCGCAGTCACAAGCAACTCTGAAGCAATTTACATCACGAACTTTCATTAGGAGGAATGTGTATCTCCTTACAGAATTCTTAGTACTACATAAAAAGCACACAGACCTTGAACTTTGAAATCCGCTTGACGGACTTCTGCTGCAAATCGTCGCATACTTTCTTCCACACCAGCGCTGGTTGAATCATAACGATTTTTAGTTGCCTCGTCGGTTTCACCCATGTCGTCCAAATTGCGATAAGTAACAGCTTCGAGTACATCAATAGGATCTGAGTGATTGCTGATAGGTAAAACTCTCCTAGAAGGCTATAAATAGTGCAAGGAGCATCGCTATTACCTATGGCAGTAATATCCATTGGATTATGCTCCTCGAGTATTTTTTCTGCGATAGGGCCTAAACTGGAATCAAGAGTACGATCCAGTTTCTTGAAGTACACCTCGGGACCAGCCCTCAGGATTTTGTGGCGTTCCGCAGCTCTGCGTCGGGCTAACAATGCCCGTCTCGTATAAAGTACCTTGTCGTAAGCAAGCTGAACAGTAATGCTATCATTCGCAAGTTATAGGAGCGATAAAAAACATACAAATAGTAATGTTTGAATCGTAAAAATACATAAAATTCCGAGTAACTTCGATAAATAAACAAGTAAATAGACAAATAATGAAATGTGATAACAATAAATATATGGGGGAAGGGCGGAAGTGGTGTAGTGGCAAGTGGCACGCTTACCACGCGAGCGGTCCGGGGATCAAATCCTGGGTCGCCCGGGCCAACCAAGCCTTCCATCCCTCCGGGGTCGGTTAATTGGTACCAGACTTGTCTGGGAGGATAAAAACACTGACTTGTACATCGGCTGGCCCCCGCAAGTCATTGTATAGGCCACATCGCATTCGGACACACTACGATTCCTTTTATCTTTTAGGTTTATGGGGGGGGGGGGGGCAAAAAAAAGAGTCACTTTGCCCATGGCGCACATCATCAAATTTTTCGTCGCACAGGATGCCGTTGTTAATGAATGTTTTACGGCAGAATATTCCTTAGGTGTCCCCCGAAGCAGAAGCAGGCCCTCCTTCACTGCCCCCACCGTCTTCAGAATATGACGTCATCTGCCGTCACCGTCGAGAGGCTTACCGTAATCGCTCCGGCCTGAAGCTGCTACATAATTTCTTCAATGATTAACTGGTGAATAGCTTCGAGACACTAGCTGTGACTGTGCAAGACCGCTTTTGACCAGCGTTTCAGGGACGTCGTAATGGTCTATGGTACCTCGACGACCTCGTTGAGCTCGTACCGTGAACCATGTTTCCGTGGGAAAATCTTCTGATGTCGTCGGTGTAGAAGGCTGTTATGTAACTTTTGATAGATTAGAATGTGCTCTTTAATATTAGTTGGGCTCATTTGGTTTGGTTTCGCAGTGTTAAATTAATTCCGTTTTGAATGTGGAAAGAAGTGTCCCTTTTTTGCCTCCCTCCCCCTGTATTTACAATGTATGTATAGAACGCGCGTATGTGAGCCATTGCAGGAAATGTAGCCCTAAATTCCATGCATTTGAAATCGAGATATGTATATAGAGCCTTACCATATGTAACATAACAAAATAAAAGCCAAAACTCAGGAACGCTGAATAATCTCTGAATGAAGGCATGAAATTTTTTGCCCCGCACAATGTCGCATGCTTTCCTTATTGAAAGTGTCAACAACTGTTCGCTAACTCTTAACACAGGTATTGCAAATTGATGGAGTAGTGTCAAAAGTCTTCTTGACTTGCTGATAGGAGCGAAAAAATCTACTAGGAGTTGATCCAATAATCTTTTGCTTCTGAGCGCAGACCAGCGCTTTCCCAGTTTTAGCTTCATTCATAGAATCACCACTTATCGTTAGTGGATATGGGAAGGACCCGAGCCCAAATTCATCGTCTTAAAGGAAGCGGTTGCGATAAACGTCATAAGAGCGAATGAGAAAGTTCCATAGCGGAAGGTAAGAGACCTACGCAATTAGACGATAGTTGGCGCTTCAGGGGCAGTGGGGCATTACCGAAGGCGTGATAAAGCGCTGGAAAATAGCTCTTCGAACTTCTGAAATGCCCACCTACCACTTCGGAAGGGGTTGCAACGGCTGCATGGTTGAAGTGTAAAAGTTACGTTATCAAACAACGTCCGGACAATCTCCATCTTTAAAGTTCATCTTTAAATTTAAAGACTACTTGAACCAACGCGATCCTCCTCCAAAGCAAGAACCCCAGAAGAGGGTCGTGTCGAGGAATTTATACTGTGGATGAGATAGAGCAGCCTATGTGTATCACAGATGTACCTTTGTCGCGTCTCGAGGGTCAGTGAAAATAGGGACGAAGGACATTCACACCTCATTGAGCATGCCTCCGAAAGTGCGCGAAATGGTGCTAGGGCTTTATAGTGATCTGATGGTGGTTAATGTGAACTTATGGACGAGATACCTCACGCACACCCCATTTCACGCACGGATTACAACGTAGCGGCTGATTTAAATGCGCGTAGGTTAGAGGAACCGTGGAGCAAGCAGATTCGTGCAACTCGTCCTGCCCGCGTCCACCTCATTTTAAGAGGGAACAGGGGTTCCTTGTTTAAGGGTTTCATCGGCGATTTGCTCTCGTTCTTTTCTTCATTATCACGCAGTTCGGAATCCGCAACTTCATTATCTTGCGCTGTTTCCTCACAAATTTGATACGTAGTTGTTGCTTCAAGGCGAAGGCAAAGGTACACACGTCATTTACATGGCCGGGCTGCTCATTCGACCTTCATGTGAGAAATGTAAAAACCATGTTTGCTCAACAGATCTCTAATCTCATTTAAAATGATACAGCGTCATCCGATTGGTCAAATTGAAGACTCACCAGAGGATTAGACAAAATGGACTTCATCACTCGTTTCATCTTAGCAGTGTTCAAATGATACGGATTCACGCGACATGAGAAACCCACAGTCTGAGAAAAATTCATGTTATTCCCATAGAAATACAGCTGCATAATAAATGTTTACAATGCCGTTCGTTTTGAATACTTTCGCCTCAATGAAACAAAAAGGATCAATCAAGAAAACCAACAGTGATGAGGTAGCCGTCTTCCTTTTTAGGCCCCAATGCATCTATTGCCTCAAACTCGGCAGCAACGGCAGCGGCTCGTTCCTCCCTAGTCATCGCATAGAAATCTTTCTTTGGTACAATACTCTGGAAAAATACCATTGCGTAATTTGGAGAAAACTATTGGAATATTTCTAATACAAACTTTCACGTCGATCCCTAGCGCCTTGAACTCATCAGGTCGAATATCCTTGAAACGATCCTTTTTACATGAGTCACCGCTATCGTCAGGATAGTACACATCGTCATTGAAGCTGTCATCCATGGAATCTGGAGCTATGCTCCCGTTCTCAGAAACCGCCACCGAACTGTGCCTCTTTGGCGTTGGCTCACGCGGTGATAGTACCTCAGTGGTGTTGCCGTTCTCCAGAGCATTTTGACCCCTAGAACGAAGCTGTTAAAAGGGTATATTTCAAGATTACTTTTGGAGAGTGAGCTGAACGCACTCTTCCGGCAAAGCACGAAATCCTCCATAGGTAGTCAACCATTCATCACAAACGTCAGCATTAACATCTGGAGTCACAACGTTCTGGCGAGGTTCCTCGGCCGTTGGTGATCTTTTGAGTGTACCATTGAATGGCAGATCCGAGCTGCTTGGTGAGCGTTTGATTTCTAATTTCACACCGGGGTAATGACCCTGAAACGAGTTCATAAGTGCAAATCACAAAAAAAAACAAAAATATCAGCAAATATGTGTGAAAAATAATCAAGAACAAACCTTTTGGACTAAGCCAGGCTTTACGAAATTCTCGTATTTATATTCCTTAAGGGAACGTCGCGGTGGAGGTTTCCTTCTCAAAAATATTACATCTTCTCCACGTGTAATACAACGAGAATCCACAATTGAAAAACGATTCTTCAGCGAAAACGGCGAATGCACTTCAGATTTTACGAAGTATCTGAAAAGAG